CAGTCTAAGTGCTGAGTCATAGGGAGATCTAAGGAATGGTCAGATGAGAAACCAGGAATGGATATTTGAAGCAATCAGAATTACTCAGGGGAAAGTGACAGAATAATTGTAGTGAGAAATGATGTGCTTGTGCTTGTATCTTGTTCCTATAAATACTGAGAACATGCTGAACTTTTCAAGACAAGGTTGATGGTGCTTGCTATCTCCCTGTAACCAGTTACAGAAATAAACCTCCTCCTTCTCCAGGCTCTGCCTCTCATTTCAATAACTGTGAGAAGAAACAGCTGAACCTAGTTGGCCAGTAACAGCATCGGCCAATTCAGCATCTACCCAGAGGTATTTTTCATGACCTAGTCTCTCTTCACCTTTACTATGTCCCATAGAAGGTCCTGAGTTTAGAAGGAGTATGATATATTTTAGATCACAACTACCTATTTTTTCTAATTTTGTTCTTTAACCCTCTTTTTTGTCCTGTCTAAAAATTAACTATGAGACAAAAGCAACAATTCTCCATATATCAGAGTGGAAAGAAACGTAGTTTTTTGTTTTGTTTTGTTTTTGAGAGGTTTTTTTGCTTTCGGGCACGTGCACTCACCAGACAGAGAGAGACAGAGAGACAGAAAGCGAGAAATCACCCCCTAGGGGGGATGGCCATGCCGCAATCCCTTCTCCTCCATTCTCCTCTCAGGATCTTGGACATGCACGCACACGCGCCCGGCGTGAGTTTTAAGCCACTGGGTCCGGGACGTGAACCGCAGTTGACTACATGGGAGTCCAGCAACATAGCCATTACGCTAACTGCTGGTCCCAGGAAATGTAGTTTTAATGCAGAGGTAGGTTCCAAAGTCTCACTTCAGAGGAGGAAGAAAGTAGAAAGCCTTCACTTTGATATTAGCTCCCAGTCTCAATATGTAATCTTTTACCAAGGAGTTATTTAGCCTATATAATTAAAAACAGGTGAGGTTGTTGTTTGGCTCTCATGTTTCTACCTTATTGGTCTATTCTTCCAAAGATTGGCTTCCACAAAGTGAACCCTGTGATGCAGAGCATCAGAGATTCCACATGAGCAGGGCTGAAGAGTCAGGGGATGTTAAGACCAACCACAGTTCAGTTCTTTCAACTCAAATAGTAAGTGTCAAGGGCATAGATAAGTGGACAGAAAAGATAATAAGATTGTGTCTAACACATTGGTTGTGGGATAAATAGTGATGAAATATGTAGCTACATAAAGAATCTTAGCTCTCAGCACTTGCAATATACCACGTGGATGACCCTTTCAACATAGCTGCCTCTCAGTTCCTTAAATTCCCCTCCTCAATGAACTTGCCCCTCATTGCACCTTCACGACTCAGTCCCACAAGCTTGTGCTCAACATTACCCATAGCACAACTCTAATTATTTCATGTCTTCAGTGTCTGGCCACCATCTTCTAGCTTCCACTCACTCACTTAGTACCCTCCCTCTAAGACTCTCCACTCCACAGACCCTTCCATTGACCCACACACCTTGATGCTCTCCCTCTCTCTTTCCTAAACCAGCTCCAATGCCATAGTCAGTTACATAGGGTCCTGGCTCCCTCCATTCCACCCTTCACTCCATCTTGTTAGAAACACCCCAGCCTAGAGAAATCAGCCCTCCCCTGACCCATGCTTGCCCTCATGCTGATGAGCATGCCTGGATATAAGTACCCTATCATGGAGACTGATCCAACTTAAATCTGTAACTAGAAAGGGAAGAGGCCCTTCAACATTTCCCAGCAATTCACACTTTCCTAGTCTAGCCTCTTTCCCACCTTCCTAAATCACCACTGCAAACTGTCTCTCATCAGATCCCTCTAAGCTCATTCTCAGTAGGTAGCCCTGCTTCCTCCATGGAGAAAATGGAAGTAATCAGAGGAGAATCCCCACATCCTCCCATCCATATGCATTTCCTTGTTTGTGACCATTGAAGGACTTTTTCCCATCTAAAGACCATTCTTCGCCTCTGCTCTATATCCTGTCCTCGTCACCTACTCAACAACTTTGTTCGAGTAGTTCTGTCTCCCTCCTACATTTCCCCTTCTATCCCAGACTACGGCCATCATACAGGTATGAGCGCTCTCCCATACATATTTACTGTAAGAAGTAAACCTTCTCTAGACATCACATCCCCTAACAGCTAGTACTTTGTTTTGTTTTTGTCTTTTGTTTTTTTCATTGGGGCTTTTCATTTATTCATGTACTTGTAGCAAGTTATTCTGTTGTCGTAGTTTGTTTGCTATAGGATACATGCACTCTCCAAAGAGTGAGAGAAAGGGAGAAATCATCCTGGGGGAGGTGGCCACGCCACAATCCCATCTCTTCCATTCCCTACTCAGGATTTGGGCACGCACATATGCAGATGGTGTAGGATCCAGCACCTTTCCGGCCACACCACCTGCTGGCCCCTATGTCGATTACATTTTAATCATCCTCCAGGATTTATAGTGTAGGAAGCAGCTGTAGGATGACAATAACATCTAGAACTCTATCTAGCAATAGACCTGTATCATACACTGGAACTCTGGGCCTTTCCCAGCTGTTCTCTGTCCCTAAAACCCACATCTGACTCAGAAAGACCACAGAGCAGAAGTCTTTAAGTGAGCAGTTTGGGGCTCAGCTCCCTGGTTTTGATTCCCAGTGACTCCACTTCTGGCTATGAATTATTAGGCAGTTTATATAACTTCTCTAAAACTCTGATTCCACATCTGGAAGTGGAGTATAATAATAATAGTTATAAGATTGCTCCAAAGACTATATGAGTTAATATATGGACAGCACTTTAAGCAGTGTCTGGAACGCAATAATTCAATCAATTCTAGCAATTCACTTAACTGGCAATCAAACTCTGCTAACTACACTCAAAGCAATCTTTTTTTTTTTTAAGTTTATTTACATATTTTTCCCATTAAAAGAAAAGAGGGATTTCCCCTTCTATCCCAGACTACGGCCATCATACAGGTATGAGCGCTCTCCCATACATATTTACTGTAAGAAGTAAACCTTCTCTAGACATCACATCCCCTAACAGCTAGTACTTTGTTTTGTTTTTGTCTTTTGTTTTTTTCATTGGGGCTTTTCATTTATTCATGTACTTGTAGCAAGTTATTCTGTTGTCGTAGTTTGTTTGCTATAGGATACATGCACTCTCCAAAGAGTGAGAGAAAGGGAGAAATCATCCTGGGGGAGGTGGCCACGCCACAATCCCATCTCTTCCATTCCCTACTCAGGATTTGGGCACGCACATATGCAGATGGTGTAGGATCCAGCACCTTTCCGGCCACACCACCTGCTGGCCCCTATGTCGATTACATTTTAATCATCCTCCAGGATTTATAGTGTAGGAAGCAGCTGTAGGATGACAATAACATCTAGAACTCTATCTAGCAATAGACCTGTATCATACACTGGAACTCTGGGCCTTTCCCAGCTGTTCTCTGTCCCTAAAACCCACATCTGACTCAGAAAGACCACAGAGCAGAAGTCTTTAAGTGAGCAGTTTGGGGCTCAGCTCCCTGGTTTTGATTCCCAGTGACTCCACTTCTGGCTATGAATTATTAGGCAGTTTATATAACTTCTCTAAAACTCTGATTCCACATCTGGAAGTGGAGTATAATAATAATAGTTATAAGATTGCTCCAAAGACTATATGAGTTAATATATGGACAGCACTTTAAGCAGTGTCTGGAACGCAATAATTCAATCAATTCTAGCAATTCACTTAACTGGCAATCAAACTCTGCTAACTACACTCAAAGCAATCTTTTTTTTTTTTAAGTTTATTTACATATTTTTCCCATGAAAGAAAAAGAGGGAAAAAAAGACACCCCCAAAAGGACCTTCATGCTACAGTTTTATCCCTCATCTCAGTCAGTCAGGATGACAGGTGTGCTCATGAACACTGGCATGCCCAGGGAAACCCCAGGGTGTGAACCCAGGACTCTCGGACGTGGCCTTGGCATCACGGAGCACCGAGTTACTACTGTGCCACCACAGCAGCCCTAAACAGTCTCCTAAATGTGTCCCTTCCATTCCAACCACATCTTCCTTCCTTGTTTTCCAGCCCACCCTCCATGACAGCTCTACAGCACAAGTCACCACCCAAATTAAAAACTATCAGTGATTCCTCTTTGCTTTGGAATTCTGCAAAGACCTTCCCAATTTTACAGCCCCAACTTTGCCAGTTTTCTTTCCTGCCACTTTAATTCCTGTAGCCTTTCTTCCTGTAACTTCACTGACTTTCCACCACATTATTGGTTTCCTTTGCCAGCAAAGCCCTTTGCCCTCACTTCCCTTACTCACAAATGTGGTCATTTACAAGTGAATGTTCTTGGCAAGGAGCACGGGAATTTTAATGAGGACCCACTGACAAAAAAATCAGATTTTTTCTGATTTATTCTAAAGTAAAATGGAGGGAAAGGGATATCAGTAAGCCCACATGAGGGAAATTGCTTTTAATAAGTGAGTTTCAGGATCTTCTCTAAGAGCATTTAGGTTAAACAATTTACAACCTACCACAGAGCTAAGCTAATCCCTCCTTCCCTTCTATCCCCCAGCACATGGCCCTGGACAAACACCTGATGGCAGCACCTCAACTTCACTGGAGCCTCTGATTCCCTGGAGGGTGGGGATAGGAAAAAGAGAGAGTGCACGGCAACGAAGAGAATCATGGCGACAAGGAAACTGTGTGAGTATTGCTGTGTGTGCTCTGACATGCCCAGACCTCCTTCATGCCTGGCCAGATAGCACACGTGGAAGTGAGCACATGCACAGGCACGCACACCTGTCTTACAGTGCACGTTGTCATCCGACATACTGTGCATTTCTAGTGTTTACTGCCTGCCCCTCTCCCTGTCGTTACTAAAATGCAAATCCCAGGACTTGGGGTTTTACTCGCTGCGATGTGTCTAGAACATGATAGTGTAGCAGCACATAGTAAGCTCTCAACAAATACTTGATGAATGAATGATGGAAACAACTCACTATACTTATCATGACTAGAAGTGTCGCTACTTCTTAACTTCATGGTCTTAAGTCTGGACTTCAACCCCTTTGAGCTTTGGTATTGCCTGTAAAAAAAAAGGCACAACAAGCATTTTAGAAGAAAGTCACAAAAGTAAGAATTCACTCTGCTCATGCCTCAGAACCCGGTCCCCACCATTATCCTTGTGGAGGCTCTACCTGCCTCCCCAGACAGTTCCTGGCACTCACTCCTCTGGATTCCCTCCATGCTTTTCTGCGGGTCCTTCTGACCCATAAATTGAGTCCATCTGCTTCTACCCACAGTCAACAAAACAAGAGGCAGAGACTGGAGAAGGGAGCTTACTTTATCCTGATTCCTGTTTCTCTTCAAATACTCATTCCTACTTTCTCATCTGACCATTCCTGAAACACACCTCCCCATGACTCAGCACTAGGTCAGGTTGTTCTCCTTTGAAGCCTTTCTTAATTTCAACATGGCTGCAGTCCTGCTAAGCCTCTAAGCTGTCCTGCTTCACATCTATGTATTCTTTATCCAAGAATGTTCTATGGAGGAGAATTAAAAGAGAACTTAAAGACTGACTAGAGACATAGTAAGAAAACTAGTAGGAGACGGGAGGGGGGGAGAGTGGGGCTGGTAATGCACCAAAGAACATTGAAAGGAATCCTTAATAAAAACAAGAAAAGTCACAAGAAAAAAAGGAAACTAGAGAAGACAATAAAGAGAAAAAAATAACAAATGTACCCTCGCCTTCATGAAATCAGAAAATCATCAGCATGAAATTGGCAGATATTTTTAGGGCAAGGGAGGTGTAGGCTAAGGAGAACTAATCACTCCATGGACAGTTGATCCCTATGGAAAAGCCATCAGTCACTGCATCAGGAAGGAGGGGTGCCCATCATCACTGAGCCACCTTAGTCCAAAGGGAAATGCCTACACTTACAAAGGGAACGAAGTAGCAGGGATATCAGAGGCAGGTCTCAGGCATAGCATGGTGTTGAGCAAGGGTGGCCAATGCCCATTCACTGTCACAGTTAAGGCGAACAGTGCCACCCAGTGTTCGGAGCTTGTACCTGCCCAACTTGCTATGTTTTTCATTAATGGAAAGAATTTGAAAATTTCTCTCTGGTAAAACGTACTTTGACCTGAAGTATACAAGCTGATTCATTACGAAGGATAAATGATTCAGTCATACACTTTCATGTTCTAAAGAGCAAAGACAGACTAGGAAAGAAAAAGAGAGGACAGCCCTATAGACATACGAAAAGAGACCACTGACACAGAGAACAGAGCTCAAAGTCCCTGGGATTTGTTACAGGCACCCGGAACTCATGGCTGAGAAATGCTGAGACCTGACTGAGACAGCCCACCAGAATAAGAGTTCTGGGACCTGCATAGCTCCTATGATCAGTTTATCCTGGGCTACCAACAGTTGCATTGTGGGAACCACTTGAACTTGGACATTTTCTTAATGAAAATCCTAGACCCAACGTCTACGAAAGAATCCCCTGTAGATATGATAGACCCTAACGTTAAGAGCATCAGAGGTGCCCAGGGGTCTATGTTTCAGAAACCTCTGTGAATGGACAATTACTCGGCTGTGTAAGTAGCATGAACTACTGATACATGTAACGATATAAACAAATCTGAAAAACAGAAATCTCAGCAAAAGAAATCAGACACAAAAGAGTACACACGGTATTATTTTATATGTATATACATAGAACTTTCCAATGTGATGGTAATATTCTATATTTTGATTGGAGTAGTGATTACATGGGTATATGCATTTGTCACTTTATACTTAAAATATATACATCTGACTGTAGGTCATTATACCTCAACAAAATTGTTTTAATAGGGACCAGCAGTTGGTGTAATGGCTATGTCACTGGACTCCCATGTAGTCAACTATGGTTTGAGCCCAGACCTGGTGGCTTAAATTCATGCTGGGCACATGTGTGTACCCAAGATCCCAAGAGAAGAATGGAGGAGAAGGGATTGAGGCATGGCCATCCCCCCTGAGGAGGGGTGATTTCTTGCTTTCTGTCTCTCTGGCAAGTGCACACACTCTATAGCAAAAACCTCTCAAAAAAATTGTTTTAATAAAAGCATTTCCTGAGTAGGAAAAAGTCTTCTAATTTTGTACATGGGTATCATTCAACTGGGCAAAAATAAACAGAAGACATATACTAAACCACTAATTGAGCTAAAGCAAGAGGGTACTGGGGAAAACTACATATCTAAAACCAACTCCACAGTAGATGTGAATGCAACATCTGTAGGTACAAAGGAGGATGTGGTTGATTTGAGTGTATAACAGAACAAGACACTGGGCCTCCAGGACCCTAATCCTAGCTCTGCACTTTCTCACTGTGGGTTCCCAAAAAGTTATCCTAAATATCTCTGAGCCACAGTGTTCTCTGTGAAAATGAGGGTGGTAATCATGACTGTACCACATTGCAAGAAGGATTAAATAACTCAGTGTATGAGGGGAACGTAATAAACTCATGGAAAAGGTGGAATTAAAGCATTGATTTATTTTGGTGCAAAAGATGTTGAAATCCATGCATATTTTTTATAATACGCATTTGCCATGAACTTTAAAGACCCCCACACACACCATATTTGAAAAACAAACACAATGCCTAGAACCTACAATTATTCACTACATGTGGTTTCTTATTACAGATGAGACTTCCAGGACGGTTTCCTTGGAAAAGTGACTTTTGAACTGTACTCCAAAGAACTAGGAGTTCAGGTTTCTTGGCTAAATAATTCTTGCCCTCCTTTGTTGAGGGAACAGCTCAAGATGGACGTGTGGGACAGCAGTAACTGAGGCAGCTACCCTCCAGCCAGCAAGATGAAGTGAATCCTGCCAGGGGTCGGTGGGTGACAATGACCCCAGGCCCATCACACAGACATCCCAAAGAACGTGCAGGTTACCACCAGATGAAGGAAGACCAGAAATGGAGCAAACTATTCCCTTATCTACAGAGCTGCAATTAGAGGTTGGAGTCTCCAGTCCAAAGCTATTTTCCTACACTGGTAAGCTATCGCCAAAATCTGCAGGTCAAGAAGGCGTTTGTTTAAAGACAGCAAGAAAGGTTATTCCTGTATTTTCTGAGGGTAATCTGCTGTTTTTCTGCCTCTGATGGATTCAGAAAGCTTTTTTACTGGAGAAAATTAGGTCTTTTCTGAGAATACTGGTTCTGAGAAACTCCTGTGTTTTTTCTGGGTGTATTTAAATACTTGTCAGCACCACCACTGAAATGTGTAGATTCCTTCAAGTCCTGATAACAATCACAGCAACACTTCAGGTGAGAGGACAATGATATCTAATGTGAAAATGAAAAGGCTTCTCTCCCTACAGGCAACTAAATAAAGGAAAATGCTCCTACACATTTCAGGCCTCGCCTACAGTGCCACCTAGCGTTCCGAAGCAGGTACTTTCCTATGCAATAAATAAGTTTCCTTTTGTAGTCTTAAAAATCGAAGCACTTTTTTATATATATATACTAAAAGAATACAGACTTTTATTAAGCATTGTAAGTTGTATTCAATAGCCTTCGGATACGCCACACCACGATCCGTCGACAATCAAACCCAACAGCACTTCATTCTTGCACAATCCATGAGTTAGGGCAAAACTCTCTTCAACTTACAGTAAGATCCTACTTAGCTCTTGTGGGCAGGGGTTGGGGGATTACACCTCATTTTCTGATCCCTAATGTGATGAAGAGCATCAGAAGTATATGAAAATGAGAAGTGATTCTGATTTCAAAGTACATTGTTTGGAAACATTAACAAAAACATCAAAATGATAGAAGTATACTTGCTTCTACTAAATTCTTGATGGGAAAGTTTTCAAGAACAAGAAATTTGTTTCCTGCTACAGAAGGGTTTTATTTTCTTCTTTTTAAAGATCAAAGGATTTTTTTCCCACAGAAATTTCATATTTTGCTAATATGAAGGCATAAAACAGCAACAAAGAACAATAATGCAATACAGCAATGAATACACCAGGGTAATGCTGATATCCGAAATGGCTAGATTATTTGGGAGGGGGGGTTAGAATAAATGCAACAGAGGTCAATAATCACAAAATTTTAAGGTTAGAGCAAGATCAGTCAGTGACTAAACAGAGTTAACATCTTTTATAGGACGACTACTAGTTATTAGCATTTTTTGTTTTGCAAATGGACAGATACTTCGTGGTGGATTTTTCTGGTTCAGTGATTCTGTCTTCTACATCTGAGATTCGATGTTCTGTGTGATCTAGTCTGCTTTTAATACTTTCAAGGGAGGTTTTGATTTTCTGTATTACAGCCTTCATCTCTAACAGTACTATTTAATTATTTTTATGGTATGTATTTCCTTTTTCAGATCATACAAGAACTTCCTCACCTTCCAGAACTCGTCGGCTCTTTTCTCCTGCATCTTCTGGAGTTCTTGTCTCTCTCCCCTTACATCTCTGTTAGCTTTGTCACTATGAATATTCTAAATTCTTGATTAGACATTTCCTCGAGTTCCATTGTACTGTCTGTGGATGAAGAGAAGTTATTCTTCTCCCTTGGAGGAGAGGTATTTTCTTGTTTTCTCATTTCTTGTGCCTCTGCAGTAGTTTCTGCTCATCTGATGGGTTATAAGTTTCTTCCTAAATTTATAACTTTCTTATAACTTTTAGTTTTCTTATAACTTTCTTGAAGTTCAATCTGAGCATTCAGAGGCATGCAGGAAGAGGTGATTTACAACCTCTCTGTCATTTCATTTTTCCCCATTAGTGTGGCAGATTCAGTGGGAATGGAGGAATATTCTGACCCTAATAGTATTCAGATGTTTGGCTATAGTTCACTTAGACCTGTCTGGATACTCAGTGTGTGGTGGCTGAGAAGCAAAGTGATGAAGATAAAAGAAAATGGGAAAGGAAAGAAAAAGAAAAAAAAATTTTTTTCAAAAGCAAAAATTAAAACTGCACGGTGTGCTCACATGCACACAAAAGCAACAGTTCACAGCTCCAATGGAGGAGACTTCTCTGAAGGCCTGCTCTTTTTGCCTCTTCTAAATGGGAGTGGCGGAAGGTGCGAA